CTTGAGTTTCCGAGGCAGTATCACTATGGAAGTAGATTGCCCAACCTTCCTTCTGAGGAGTGGCTTGTGGGTTTGAACGGCCAGCCTTCTGGTTTGTAGTCAAGTGCCTTAGGCGCTATGCTACCAGAGCTCCTAGCATATGCAAATAAAATTTTACTGAAGATAATTCAAAAGCAGTTGCAGCAGTATATTGAGAGGGAACTGCCAGAAATTCAAACCAGATTCAGAAGAGGGCGTGGAACGAGGGATATCATTGCTGATGCTAGACAGACCTTGGCTGAAAGCAAAGAATACCTGAATGATGTTTACCTGTATTTTATTGACTATTTAAAGGCATTTACTATGTGGATCATAACAAATTATGTATAACATTGCAAAGAATGGGAATTCCAGAACACTCAATTGTGCTCATGAGGAACATGTACATAGACCAAGAGGCTTACAGAACAAGGGGATACTGCGTGATTCAAGATCAAGAAACATGTGGGTCAGAACTGTATCCTTTCACCATATGTATTTCATCTGTATTCTGAGCAAATAACCTGAGAAGCTGGAATGGATGAAGAATGCTGCAACAAGATTAAAGGAAGATTTGTTAACAATCTGAGGTATGCAGAGGATACCACCTTGCTTGCTGAAAGTGAAGAAGGCTTGAAGCACTTATTGATGAAGATCAAAGACTAAAGCCTGCAATAGGGATTACACATCAACATACAATTGCACCAAGAAGCAATATCATGAGAAACGGAGAAAAGATTAAAGTTGTCAAGGATTTCATTTTACTTGGATCTACAATCAACACCATGGAAGCAGCAGTCAAGAAATTAAAGGACCTATAGGCATTTGACTCCTAACCAGAAGGTCCTAACCAGAAGGCTGGTGGTTCAAACCCACAAGCCACTCCTCGGAAGGAAGGTTGGGCAATCTACTTTCATAGTGATACTGCCTCGGAAACCCAAGGAGGGGTCGCTATGAGTTGGGTCCGACTCGATGGCACATAACAACAACATACATATATA